AGACTCGACCTTTGAACTCCTCACTCTGACCTGCTCGCCCGTTGTTGTAATGGATGCCTGCATCATAAAAGAACACCTCCTTGTTTTTTCCATCTTTCTGAGCAGCTTTCTTCCAGTCAAACAGTTTTGACTCAATGTTCTCCTTGGTGCTGAGGGAACAGGGTAAAATAACATCTCTGTCTTGTTCCACTGTGACGACTGCTGGACCTGGAAGATACAAACATGTATTAATCAGTGTGTTTACATGCAGAGTGACGTGCACAGATAATTTGTGGGGCAGATGCTTAAGTGTAAAAAGAGCACCCCTTCCTACTAATAATCTTTGTGTGCTCCTAAAGCTGCCCTGCAGGGAGGTTTCTGTGTGTCTGCAGGAACCAGAAGGCTCTTGAGCCTCAGTACATACAGTACATTAGTGCACAGTAACTTTGTCCTCAGAGAATCTTTTGCACTGCCCTGCAGATATTTGCACATTTTTACATTTCTTTTAACACATATTCATAATTTCTTATCCTGAGTTTTTATGCTTCATATTTCTTTTTTTCTAATCCACATTTCTCCCACTAGTCTAGAAACAAAACAAGAGAGAGTGATATAGGAAATAAGATATGGTGATGTAGGAAACAAGAGATGGTGAAGTAGGAAACAAGAGAGAGTGCTGAAGGAAAGAAGAGAGTGATGAAGGAAACAAGAGATGGTGATGAAGGAAACAAGAGATGGTGATGAAGGAAACAAGAGAGAGTGAAGTAGGAAACAAGAGAGAGTGCTGAAGGAAACAAGAGAGTGATGAAGGAAACAAGAGAGAGTGACGTAGGAAACAAGAGAGAGTAACGAAGGAAACGAGTGATGAAGGAAACAAGATAAAGTGATGAAGGAAACAAGAGAGATTAATGAAGAAAACAAGAGAGAGTGATGAAGGAAACAAGAAAGAGTGATGAAGAAAACAAGAGGGAGTGATGTAGGAAACAAGAGAGAGTGATGAAGGAAACAAGAGAGAGTGCTGAAGGAAACAAGAGAGTGATGAAGGAAACAAGAGAGAGTGATGTAGGAAACAAGAGAGGGTGATGAAGGAAACAAGAGAGGGTGATGAAGGAAACAAGAGATGGTGATGAAGGAAACAAGAGATGGTGATGAAGGAAACAAGAGAGAGTGAAGAAGGAAACAAGAGAGAGTGATGAAGGAAACAAGAGAGGGTGACGTAGGAAACAAGAGAGAGTGACGAAGGAAACGAGTGATGAAGGAAACAAGATAAAGTGATGAAGGAAACAAGAGAGATTAATGAAGAAAACAAGAGAGAGTGATGTAGGAAACAAGAG